CCCTGGGTGGCTTTGCGGGTTGCGACTTGGCGGCTTGCTGCTCTCCACAGGGCGGCTGCTCGTCCAAGTACGACATATTCGAGATAGACAGCACATTGCACCACAGCTCGCGAGCACACCGTCCGCCGCCACGCCCCGTTGCACCATCTGCCGCCCGCCCTGAGCGCGTTCCTGCCTGTGGCAACCATGCCTGCATGCGCCGTGCATTTAACCGCTGGCTTGGCCTGAGACACGCTTTCCTGCCTCGACAACCGTGGACGTCGATGCCGACAACATGAATATCCAGGCCACTCCGCCCCCGCCCACGAGCACACGACGCCGTTCGAGCGCTGCCAACGGTGCAGCAGAGGCCATTGCAGCCGCCGCCTCCGCCTCCGCCTCTGCCTCTGCCAATCTGAACCGCTGGTCCCAGGCCCCGGGCACCCAAGCCAGCAGGAGCGACCACCCGCACCACCAGCACCACCCGAGTTTCTCGCGCAAGCTGAGCATCACCACGGCCAACACGGCGACGGCCTGCCACTGCCGCCAATGGCCCCGAATCGCCCCGCTCGCATCGCCAATTCTGCCCCTCGCTCGCCCACCGCGAGCCCCCGCCGACACCGCCCACGCTCTCCCGCATACGACCCCCCATCCTCGGTGACAGGCGCCCCCAAGGTACCACAGCTGCCCCCGATCCTCCTGCCCTCGACCGTCTACGACCCCAACACCCCACGAGCACCTCGACCACCAACAACTCGCCCTCTGCGTCTAGCCTCTTTACCCCGAACCTGCTCTCCGGCCTCCAGCAGCGCGACTACTTCAACTCGAAACCCACGCAGCCTCCGCCGTCCCAGAGACCCCCATCTCGCACCACCAAGGCCGAAAAGGTGCTGGGCAAGTCGCCCCTCGGGTCGCCTGCTGTCCTTCAGGAGGCTGACCCAAGGCACGACTCCACTTCGGGCGCAGCTCGGCCCTCTACAGCACGCAGACCCTCCGTTGCAGCACCTAGGGATCCCGCCCAAAAGCCCCCACCGAGTGCGGGTCATAGACAAGCCGCCTCACGGGACCACTCCAGGAGTCAGAGCAGAGAACAGTTCAGGTCCGGGAGCAGAGCACACGCCCGCAGCCCCAGCAGGGATCACCATCGCAACGAGAGCAACGCCAGCGCTAGGCTAGACGACTACCAGGGCACTCCTCCCCGCACCCGCGAGCGGAGAGAGAAGGACAAGAAGACAATGCTGTCGCGTGCCCTGCAAAAGGCGAATACCGCTGTCTTGCTCGACAATGCGCAAAACTTCGAGGGCGCTATGGAGGCGTACGAGGATGCCTGCAAGCTCCTCCAGCAGGTCATGATCCGCAGCTCGCAGGAAGAGGACAGGCGGAAGCTGGATGCCATTGTAAGTCACTGCACGCTTTGTTCGTAAAGATTATCTACTAACTCCAGTAGCGAGTAACATACACCAACCGCATAGAAGAACTGCGACGGCTAGATCCCGGCTACACTAACCATAGCGGCAAATCACTACCAGCACGCCCTATGAGCGGGGAATCGCTGGACGAACACCGCTCAATGCTGCTGCTTGACGACGATGAACCACCTGCAGTGATTGAAACTGCCACAGTATCTCGCATAGTTAACGACCGTTCCATATATGATACCCCTCCAGCCGGCGAGCCTACACCGCCGCCCAACCAGCAGCTGCCTCTTCGCAAGGGCTCCGACGGTCCTCGTGAGTCGGTCATTTCCACCGCCATCCGCGATGTGCAAAGAGGCATGCAGAACCCGCAGTTCAACCTACAGCCCCCACCTGGGCGAATTGCACCTTCCACCACATCTGTTCGATCCTCAACTGCCGAATCGTTGATGGACCGCGTGTATATGCCTCCGCCGCTTTCTCCAAAGCGATCCAAATCTCCTCTCCCGGACGGTAAAGAGTCCGAGCCCGAGGAGTACGGCCGATTATTACGACCACAGCAGCCCGTCAAGTCAAATCACCAGCGAGTCCACAGCAATGAGTCAACATCATGGCTTGACACTATTGATGAGTCTGGCGGATCATCGTGCTCTTCCTCAGTTCATTCCATGTCTCCTGGAGGAGTGCGCCGAAAACATCTACGAAACAACAGCGGAGGAACCGAGGCAGAATTCGATGCGGCGCTTGACGCAGCCGTCGAAGCTGCGTACGATGATGGATATGAACCTTACGACGACGACATTTCTACACCCGGTGATTTAATAGCGACTAAGTTGCGTAACGTGGAATTGGCCAAGGAGCGCGTGCGAGAGGCGGAACGCGAAGAGGCCATTGCTGCGGCCAAGTATCGTTACAAAGAGACGCAGCTTCGGGGCGAGGGACTTCCGCATGTGCGTGAAAGCGCCGAGATCAGGTTCAACGACGAGGCCGAAGAGGAAGAGCGGTTACTGGATGAGATGACGCGAGAGTACATGCTGGATGGTTTTGATTTCGATCTGCAGACAAAGTCGTCGTTACCGCGGCAGTCAGACTCGAGTGGCTTTTCTGGAAGCGCGTACAACAGCTCCGTATCGTCACACAGAACAACAGGTGGTACGTCACTCTCAACCGTTGCAGAGCTGATGCACCCGACATCCAAGCAACCACCCGCTCATTCCCCGCCCGCGGTGCCTGCTCCATCTGGCGCTCTGCCTGCGTTGCCTACGGTTCCCGAGTCACAAGCATCGCAAACGATCGACACCGCAGAAACCACACCACGGCCCACTACTGCAACCAAGGACGCAGCCTCAGTACGAAGCCGCAGGTTATCGGGACAAAATGCAAAGTCTTTGAAAATAGAGACTTCTGTACCGCCTGTCCCGCCTGCACCTCACACGGAGAAGCCTCCGGTGCCAGCTAAGGATGCGCCTACCGACCTCCCCGTCCAACCCAAGTCTGCGGCACCAACATTCAGCACCACCAAGCCTACCCTAGACTCCGCGTTCAAGCTTCCCGCTCTGCCGCAAGCGTCCCAACAATCTGGTCTTCGAGCTCCATCACCTCAGCCCACCCTTTACAGTCCCGCTGAGACTGCTGCCACGGTTTCACCCGCGACGCCCGCCCTCGGCCATGCTGTTTCCAACGAGGCTGGTCTTGTACCAGGTTCGCCAAAGACCGGAAAAACCTCAGCGATGGGAATAAGGAAGAACAAGTCCTCTCTTAGCCTGAAACAGCGCAACTTGTCGATATCCAGCCCAGATGGCTCAGATGCATCCATAGGAACGCCACTGAGCACGACCTTTTCCATTACGGGCAGGAAACCCAGCAATGTCAGCCTGGCAATGCCAACGCCCAGCGTCCCCACATTCAACGTCGATGGTCTACCGAGTGGAGGGATGCACTTGTTCGAGAGCGATATCCACTCACCGTTCTCGCCCGGTTCGCCAAGCCCAGCCATCACGAACGCCCCGATCCCTCTGGAGCCATGTCCGGATTCGTACCTCCTGAGACCGTTCTGGTTAATGCGATGCTTCTACCAGACTATTGCGCATCCCCGCGGTGGCTATCTCTCAACTAAACTCTTTATTCCCCGCGATGTATGGCGAGTAAAGGGCGTCAAGCTGAAGAACATCGAGGACAAGGTCGCCAACTGCGATATGCTCACAGCAGCCCTTCAAAAACTAGCGTCTGTGGATACAAACGACGCGGATGCTGTCCTAGAAGAGATGCAGTCTTTGGAACTAGTGCTCGACCAGGTGCAAGCCCAGCTAGCAAAGAAACTAGGTAACGAAGTCGGTGTACAATCCGTAACCGCACTTTTCAGAGATGCGACCACTGTCGGCGAAGGTGCATCATCAACAGACGCCTCCGGCAGGCATGGTTCCGTGGACCATCAACCCAAGGGTGCTGTTGCCCAGGGCAAATCCTACCTTGCCTCGTGGCGGAAACTCCGATCGAAGAACTCGGGCGTCAACCTCGCGGGTATGGCCGGTGGTGCCAAGAGTGCAGAAGTGCCCAAGGACACTCTGATCATGTCCACCCTTCCCATGACCAATCTGCCCAGCATCCGCTTCGCAAAGCGAGACATTTCCGGTGTTGTGTTTGAGGGACCTAATGCAGGGTACATGGGTTCTTTGGCAAGGTTATTCGATGCGGTCCAAATATTGGGTATGTCTTCCTTTATGTCATCTCTCATCATAACTGTGAATTAACTAACAGCGCTATAGACCAAATCGCCCGCCAAGTCGAAGATCCAGGTCTCAAGCATTCCTCCCCCACCCACGTCGGTCTCGAGCTATCAACCCGCCACGCCGCAGAGTTCTTCGGCTTCTACATCTGCCGCTTCGTTCTCACCGACGTCACTATGATGTTGGATAAATTCATCAAGAGAGGCAGTGAATGGGTTTTGGTTTAAGCAGAGAGCGTAAGCCTGCCTACCTGTATGTGAATATGGTTCTTTTCAATTAAATGCAAGGGATTTGTAATGAGATGGAGATTCCTTTCTTTCCTAAAGCGTTTTGTACTAGACGATCTGTGGAAACAGGTCTGGTCTGGTCAGGTATGAAACCGTACATATCATCATGACTCAAGAACGCGAAGAGAGAAGAGGCATGAGTGCCTCTCTGGAAAGAGGAGGGAAAGAAAGAAACGAGCGACGGGATAAAGGAAGGCGGACTGGTGTTTTCGAAGGCTTTTTCTCTAGTCACAAGTCACAGTCAAGTCATGAGGTTATGGATCTTGGTTGAGCGCTGGATAGCACTTTAGCTTGGCTCTCTTTTGGTTTTCAGTCTTGTTGTTGTTCGCTGTTTGTTTTGGTCTCTGCGTTGCATACTGGCTTTCGAAGATATCCCCCGCCACAACTCATCTTAGCTTAGCTTTATTATTATCGAAGCATACTTCTTTTCGAAACATTGCAATGTGCGCCTATATACATATGTGTGTGTGTCGTGAGAATGGAGAGAGACGAGAACGTTGAACGGGTGTATGATGAAGTTTTGAGAGAAAGAAATTGTTCATATTACGATTCATTGAAAAGAGGAAGAAAGTACAGGAGAAAGAGGAGCCAAATCAAACAACGAAAGGCCTTCCTACTCTCGCCTTCTCCGCAGCAGTAGTGCTCACACGCTTCTCCTCAGCCTGCACAACAAGATCGTGCGGCGAGAATTTCCCCTCCGTTGACACCCTCGCCCTAGGCTCCGACCGATTCCACAACTCAAAGTGGCTGTAGAACCTCCCATTTCCAGGCGGCGGCCTCTTCGCTTCTGCTCTGCCCAAGACGCCCGGCCGTTGCACTCCTGGTACCGACGGCGACGACGGTGAAGCAGACCCCGCGTCATCGTCATCACCACCACCACCACCCGGTAGATTGAGAAAGCGACTCCACGCCGTCGCCGCACTCTCCAGACTACTACTCGCACGTATGGTGCGTATAACAGCCTGAGCGCTGATGAGGTCGCTTTCGAGCAGTGCGGTTTGAAAGGTAGTGAGACTTTGCTGGAGACCGGCGACGGCTTCGTTGACGGGGCTGTTCATTTCGCGGTGGTAGGCGCGACCGAGGGTTATCAGACTGTTGGCTAGGTTGGGCATGGATTGGATGTATTCCATGTAAGAGGATGTGAGGTCGATGGTGAGGTTGTCGAGGGTGGGTGTGGTTGTGGGGATGCTTGTCGGGAGGGCGAGACTGGCGGTTAAGGGGAGTGTGGGGGTTGCGAGCGTGGGCGGTGTGGGTAGGGTGCTGTTGATGGTCGTGTTGGGGAGGAGCCATGACGTCTATTGTTGGTGATTGTTAGTGCTGGTCACGACACTGCTTGGGGTGGGGCTGAGGATGCATACCCTGTTTGTGTCTAGCTGGAACTTCCCTCTCAGGATGGTGTTGGTGATATTGTTGACGAGGTCGGCTGTGCCCATCTGACCGCTACCACCGAAGAGGTTGAAGCCAAAACCTCGGTTGGGGTTATTTGGATCGGCGATAGCGCTTGCTGCCGAATTGATGACGTTTTGTAGATCGGTGAGGTCCTGGACAGCGGCGGGTGTGGCCATGACAGTCGGGATCATGATGATGCCAGTGACGAGCATCGTGTGGAATAGGGAGGAGGCCTTGTGGTGAACCGAAAACATACTAAGCTGACGATGCGGCTAGCAAGTAATCGGAGTTGGTAGGCGTGAAAGTGAGAGGTGGGAAGGCTCAAAGTATGCTGCTGGAAGCTAGGAGTGTCTTTTGTAAATTGTTGGTGGATGAGGAGTGGAGGTTTGGGTGGCATTGTTGGCCTCTTATTGTATGTATATAGTCCAGTAAGTGGTGGAAGGAACGATGCCGTCTAGGGATTTGTCGAAGTAAGTGAGCTGATTGGAGGGAACAAATGACAAACCGTGTGACAGGAAGTGGCTATGGGCGCGGCATCGAAATGTAAGAACTACCGAGACAGTTATGCCTGCACAACTGGGCTACCGATGACTGAATATCCCGATGCTGTCGACAACGCAGGATGAAGAAGCACAATTTCCCTGAAAAGAATACAACCCGGGTTTGAAAACATTAACAGGAATTTCTCAAACACCATTAGTAAATACAATTTTACACCTTCCAGCCTAACTCGACCGCTTCTTCCCTCGCCGTCAGGACGACTGGCATCACTTCCGCATTGAGCATATCAGAATCTACATCCCCAGGTCGCACCTTCTGCTTGTGAGTTCGAACCATCTCCCTGAGCCCCAAACTGCTGTCTTCGTCGTCGTCTTCATCTTCATCTTCGTTCTCTCCCACTTCTTCAGCCTGCTTGGCCATCGTTCCGCGCATTCGCGGCCCAGATATTACGATGGGAACGTCCTCCTTCGGCCTACGTGTGACAGGTTCACGCAGTTTCATAAGAGCAGCGGCCTGCGCATCATCTTCAGAGCCTTCCGAATCATCCACCAGCTCTACTTCTGGTGGAATCAGAGCATCGTATGGTTTCAGTGCGTCCCCAGAATACGCTTGCGAATAAATTAGTCCAAGCCTATTCAATGTATGTGTAGAAAACTCCGACTCTTCATCGCTCACTTCCACGATAGCAGTCCCTGGAGGCTGTATAAGTGTAGCTTTGATAGTGGCCACGAAGTCTGCTTCAACTGTTCCTTTTCCTTTGCTCTCGATAGAAACCTGCTCCACTCCACGAATGCCCAGTAGCGCGTTCTTGAGAAGCTTCTCCGTACTGTTAATCTTGTAGGGTAGTTTGTTCCTCTCTTCGTCGCTCAGCTTGCCGTCTGCTAGCTTCTTGAGCTTGCCATCAACGCACTTAGATAGCACTGGTGATATGAGGTGATAGCTGTAATGCGTAAGGAGTGTATTGCCTTTTACGACTAGTCGAATGGTTTGTAAGTTGTGAGGGTTGGTAGCGTCACCGGGGCGTGAATGTAGCTTGTTGAATGCAAGTGCGAAACGGTCCTCAGTGTACGCGACCATTTAACTTGCGTCGAGATGAACCTCTAGGGTTTTCATATCTTGCAGATACGCTTCAGATTCATCGGTCTTTGAGAGGAATTCATTGCAATCAGCCTCGCCTTTGAGTACAACGTGATCGAACTCTCCAGGTGTTTTGAGGGACAGGGTCGCTTTCAATTTCTGCTTTGGCTGTGACTTGAGTGGAGTAAGAGTTATATTATCGAGCATGTCCTCCTCCTCCTCTTCTTGCGATGCGCTGTTGCGAGTCTTGCGCCGTCCACGTTCGGCGGACAAGGATGATGTTGTGAGCACACTGGCTTTCCCAGGACGTGCCATGCCTTGCTATCAAGTTGATCGACTTGATACCTCTACTTTAGTCGACGTGTGTGGTGGTGTGATTGCGATCGAGAACCTTGGCTGAGGTACAAACGCAAAAGAGATAGCATAGGTCTAGAGAGGGGCTCAACAGGGGTGCATGTAAGTGAATTGGTGGAGAAGGGGAGTGAGTACCGGCAATCTACCTTTAATACTTATAAGGAACAGCCATGAGAAGTCACCAGCACAGTGAAGTCGGCTCTGGAATATAGACATGTTCAGGTGACCGCACGATTCTGCATAATCAGCGCTCTCAGACGTGTCTTTCACTATACATACCGTCTAATGCATCATATGGTATATCGTAATGGGCAGTGACGTCTAAAACGTGCCTGAAACTTGGAGAAGCACCGTGATAAAACCCTCCCATGGTGACACCCGGCTTACACGACGAGAGTATTACGCTCCAACAGAATTCTGGTCGTCGCCAGCTATTGTAGAGTATCTGTAGTGCCCCCACTTACGAGCGCTTTCTCGTAGGCTCTCCACCATAATCCCAGATTCGCCGCGACTAGTAAGTCCATCATTTTCAGGCCTTCGTCTTCCAGAATTATCTTTCCCAATTTCGCTTGCTTACCACCAAAACCACCACCAGCAAACTCCTGACCTAGAGAAAGATCTAAGCGATCTAACGAGCTCCTAGCGTCTTCGGTGGTATCATCGCGACTGACTGATAAGGAGGAGTTATTACGGCTGTGTCGTGCTTTGCGAAAGAACGACGAGCGTTTTGAGCCTTCTTCGCCTCTGGGTGTAGTGGGTTTTGGACTACTTGGGAGGTTGAACCTTAGCTCACTAACCGTCATTGCTGTAGACGGCGCTCCTTGACGCCCTGGGACAATATGTCGACACTACGAGGGTAGTTAGTATTATTAATTAATCACTGCTGCGATGGGAATGGCATTACCTTCAAAGATCCTCCACCTATTCCCGTGGTGAATTCGCATCGTCCGTTCCACGGGCTTGTGAACACATAGCCACGGAAAGTGGTTTGCCTATCAGAGACTTGAATGCTACCATATGTCTGGTCTTGCCTAGTCACAAACGGGGGAGTTGGAGGTGGTCGCATGTCTGTTGATGTAGAGTTGGTCTGCGCGCGATAATTCTCTCTTGAGTCAGGGCGTCCGGTATCGTAGTCATACGAATTAAGCTTCCGATGTCCAAAGCCGCCGATGTGCTGCGATCCTTCCATCCATATGCGTCGACGGAACACGTTCTCGTTTGTAGACAGATGAGCCCCCGTCTGCTGTTCTGACCCTGCGCTACGTGATTGGATAGACATTCCACTATCTCGTGTTGTTAAAGGAGGCTTGTTGGTGGTGTCGGAATGTAGAAATTTGGAGTAGCCAGGGTTGAAAACTTCGATATACATCGGGGCTCCCAACTTCTTCTTGATGCTGGGATCATTCGATGCCGACGAGATATCTAGGATAGGTGGGTCCTCAATGCGAGCAACATTCCATTGCGCGCCAGATGCGGGATCTCGCCGGATAAGGGTGAGCGACGCGCTAGAGCGTGACGGGTTCTCTGATTGTCTGCGTGGTGAAGCTGTCGGTCTTCGATTTTCCTGTTGGTACTGGCTTGCGTCGAACGAGCGTCGTGGGCTGTGGCTATACTCTGGGGCGAGCATTGTAGATCTCCGCGCATAGTTGCCTGCATCGATGTTCTGGTTGTTGGAGTAGTTATTGATAGTCGCCAGAGTACTAGGCACTGGCTTCCGTACGGGAGCAGTGTTCGTGCCGGGTACTGCTTTCCTTGGAACAATAGGCGCAGAGACGGGATTGGAAGAAGCTTGGCCCTCTTGCGCATAATCTGGATCCTGGAATTCGGGAGGGTTGACAAGGTAAGCATCTTCTGGTTGCTCAACGTGGACGAAATAGAGTGAGCTTTGTATGTCTTCTGCGGTCACTACCTTTTCCCGCGGCTTCATCGGAGATAAGAAGACATCTGAACAATGTTAGGCCCACTGTAGGAGAATACACGTTGACAGCCGTACCTCTGCTGCCGGGAACACGGGCGATGTACAGTACTAGCGGGTCATGGCTCTCATGAGTAGGATTCCTTGGGTAAGCTGGTGGATTGGATGCAAGAGCGGTAAGCGATGAAAGAGACCTGGCTTCGATGATTGGCGTAGCCATTAAAGCGAAGGTATTGGCAGTTTTGATATGCGGGACAGCGCTGAGTATATGGAGTTGTCAGGTGATTGACAGCAGGGCGTTGCTTAGGATATATACAAGGCGACCACGGCGAGGTTGTGCTTGGGCTCGGGTGGCTGTGCGTACGCGTCTCCACCGACTATCATGTACAACAAATGAGTTGTCTTGACCTATCGTTGTGAAGCGCGAGAGGCAAGCGGATCTGACAGACGCGCATCATCCATGGACTCGCGGCGCCTTGCCGGCAGCGAGGCTGAGGCTGGTGAAGGAGCCTTGAGCACGCGAGTCTACTTCACGTTAAGCCAAACCGGGCGGTGGCTGGGGCGGCGAGGGTCTATTGGTGGGTGGGTCTGATCTTGGAAGGGTCCTAGCGCTGAAAGTCTGCTCGAAATCTTGGCTTTCGTTTTGACCTCGATTTTCGCGACCCGCACACGACACGCTCGCCCCGCCGACTCTACGCCCTGTACCTGTCTGAACCAGGACATATCGTATTACGAAAAGTATCCTTGCGTCTATTGTTTACGCAATGGGCGACAATCTCGAGGTATGCACCGGGCCCGCCTCCTGTCGCTCGCTCTCGCCGCTAACTGAGAGCTGCAGGAGCGTCTAAAGAGCCATGCTCGTGCCTTCGAGGGACTCATGTCTCTGATACCCGCCAAAGACTACTACGGCAAGGATGAGAGTATCACCAGCGTATGCATCTCTTCACCTCCAGACATCCGGCTTGTGCTGACATGATGTCTGCAGACGCAATGGCAAAAGAAAGGCAAGAAGCAGACTCTCGAAGAAAGACAAGCAGCCAAGCGAGCGAAGCTGGATCCTGCCTCCCACAAGAGCGCCAAAGACGTCATGGATGAGAACGCGCTAAAACGGAAGCGTGAACTGGAGGGTGAGGAGGTTTCTGAGCCCGAGTCGTCCGACCTTGACATGGACATCACAAAGGAGAAGCCTCTTGAGGGCATCAAGAGCAAGGCAAAGAAGCAAAAGACACAGCCTGTTGAGCCCGAAGTCGAGGAGACCGAAGAAGTCACTCTGTCCAAGGCGGAGGCCAAGCACGCGGCGAAAGCAGAGAAGCGAAGAGAAAAGAGGAAGGAGAAGCAGGCCAAGAACAAGCAAAAGATGGAAGCGAAGAAAGCGCTACCAACGCAGTTCCAAGGTCTCGCCGCCGAAAAGCCTGAAAAGGACGAGGACGAAGACGAAGACGAAGACGAAGAAGACGACGATTCTGCAGACGAACTCGAACATCCAGACGAACGCATAGAGGCTTTGGACGTCTCCGGTCTCGTCGAAGAGGGTCAGTCTACTGCTCCCTCCACTACTGCCAATTCCAACTCCTCCACAGCCTCCGTCGCCTCCGCCGCTTCGTCAAATTCTTCACTACCCCAGTCTGGTGAAGAAGCGCCACAGAAGAAGGCTAAGAAACCATACACGATCGATCCGCAAAAACATGAGGATTTCCGCGCTCGGTTGAACGCGAAACTAGAGGCAATGCGCGCGGCGCGAAAGGCTGACGGCCCAGATGGACGCCCCGCACGCAACCGAGCAGAGCTGATCGAGGCGCGCAGGAAGAAGGAAGCCGAAAAGAAGGCCGCGAAGAAGGCCATGCGTCAGGATGCGAAAGAGGATGAGGCACGACAGCAAGCAGAGGAGCAGCTCGCACGGATAAGAGGCGGTTCGGGCTCACCCTCTGTATTCCCGGCGAGGTCGCCGGAGACCGAGCGCAACTTTAACTTTGGCAAGATCGCATGGGACGGCCAACAGCTTGAAAGCAATCTCTCTGGATTCCTCGATTCCAAGAAGAAGAAGGGCAAGTCAGATGCGAAGACCGCACTAGAGGCTGCGCAGAAGAAACAGGCTCGCATCAATGCCTTCGATGAGGACAAGCGCAAGGATATTCAAGAGAAGGATCTATGGCTTGCTGCCAAGAAGAGGGCACAGGGCGAGAAGGTGTTTGATGACGTCAACCTTCTGAAGAAGAGCCTAAAGCGTCAACAAAAACAAAAGGACAAGAGCAAGCAAGAGTGGAAGGAGAGGCTCACTAACGTCGACCAAGGAAAGGCCGCGAGACAGAAGAAGAGGGAGGAGAATCTTAAGAAGCGCAAGGAGGACAAGGGCCAAAAGGGTAAAAAGAAGGTCAAGAAGCCTGGCAAGAAGGTCAAGCGACCGGGCTTTGAGGGTACATTCAAGGCGAGATGATCATGAGGCTGGGCGGAATCAAGGTATATAAAAGGAAAGGGTGGCGGCATGCATACTATAGGCAGGCATTTGGCGTTTGATACCATATCATGGCAGGCATCGTATGAGCGTTAGGAGTATTATGATCTTGAATATTAGGTTGTCTTGTCTCGAGAATGTTCGTTCAATGCCAATGCTGTCTTGCAAATCAATAGTAATGCATCTAGTTGGGCCTCGGAATTGATGTGCACTCGTCGCCTCTGTGTATGTATGGGTCTTCTTCGACATGGACTCGGTGAGCTTGGTATTGTTTACTGATGCATTGACAAAAGAAATCTGACTGGTCATGTCAGAAGGAACCGCTCCTTATATGTACAGTAATTCCAAATCGCTCCCGTCCATTATCTGTAAGGCGCATCCGCACGAGCAGCTGCGGCAATCTCAGGCTCCCACTTGTCTCCGTTTGCTAGCAACTTCTCCTTGTTGTAAAGTAGCTCCTCTCGGGTCTCGGTCGCGTACTCAGCATTGGGTCCTGTATCGTGTTAGCACCTGATCAGTGTACTCAGGGAACGTGTCGACATACCCTCAACAATGGCATCGACTGGGCAGCTCTCCTGGCAGAGACCGCAGTAGATGCACTTGGTCATGTCGATATCATAACGTGTGGTCCTCCTGCTACCGTCCATGCGCTCCTCAGCCTCGATTGTGATGGCCTGCGCAGGGCAGATGGCCTCGCAGAGCTTGCAAGCAATGCAACGCTCCTCACCGGTAGGGTACCTTCGCAGGGCGTGCTCGCCTCGGAAGCGGGGTGAGATGGGGCCCTTCTCGAATGGGTAGAAGATAGTGTATCTTCAGAAACGTCAGATTGCTATATTGCGACCAGGTGGCAGACGAGCAGTCTGCTGGTTGGAGTACTCACGGTGGGCGGAAAAACTGCTCCAGCGACACATACATGCCGCGGAACATCTCCATAAGCAAGAAGTACTTGCCGGCGCGGTCCAATGCACCTTCTCCTTCATCCCATCGCTTGGGCTTGGGTAACCGGAAGCCTGGCGGTGGGGGTCCCGCTGGGGTGGCGGCTCGGGATAGAGTGGTAGAGAAGAAGGCGACGGTGGCGGGCGAGGGGAGGCGTCCAGACGCGAACTGTGGTGACCGGAGGAGCGTGGCAGCTGGGCGGCTGCGTGCCAACATTGCCAATGGCTTTGCGCTGGCCATTGTGAGCGTGGTGGAGTCGCTGGCGGGTTGGGGGGTTGCTGGCGGATATGGAGGTTGTCGTCAAGCTCGAAACTTGAGGTCGTCGCTTGTAACGCGGAGGCTGCGATTGGCCGACAAGTCCAATGACGGCAACAACAGTGGGAGGCAACTCCGAGGTCAGAAATTTGTCTCGGGCGATGGAGTTGGGTATATGAACGATTCTCAAGTCTTTTTCGGATAACCGCATTAGCTGTTGTGATAATCCAAGGTGCGCTTGTTCACTCGTACGGAAATGCTTCTTGACGGCTGACTAACGTAATGTAACTTTAGTCTGAAGTTCTAGTCGAGCATCAACATCACCACCACCACCGACCTTGCTACCTCGCACGACACCCTCCCAAACCGTCCACCATGTTCCGAACAGCACTCCTCAGGTCCGCCCGGTCCGCCGTCCGCGCTGCCCCGCGATGCCAGGCCGCAATGGCTCGCCCCGTTGCGCGAAGCTCTTTCGTCCAGCCAAAGCAAATGAACCCCTCCGTATACTTCCAGGCCGTACGATGCTACGCCGCGAGCGCCGGTCTGTCAAAAGATGAGGTCACCGGCAGGATAATGGACCTCCTGAAGAACTTCGACAAGGTAATGCTTATGCGACTGGATTTTGAGAAAGTGGCTAACGCAGAAACAGGTCACCGATGCCTCCAAGGTAGCTACCAACCGCGTGTGAAGGATTGGAGACAAATGCTTATATTTTTCAGCTGAACGCCGAATCGCACTTCCACAACGACCTCGGTCTCGACAGTCTGGATACCGTAGAGGTGGTCATGGCAATTGAGGAGGTTAGTTGGTGCGCATGCGATACACAGAAGGCAAATCTGACATTGCGGCAGGAATTCAGCATTGAGATCCCCGACAAGGAGGCCGATGCCATCCACAGCGGTACGTTCAAATGCAGGGTCGGAGATATACATACTGATGATATCACAGTCAAGCAAGCAGTGGACTACATCATGGCTCAGCCCGATGGTGAGTCGCAACTTGAAAATCCCGAAGTCGTCCCAAACTAACTTATCGTAGCTCACTAAATGACATTGGAGAGCCGCGCTGGGTTGAAGATGATGGATGTGGAATTGGTAGTCGGTCCTACCGGCATCGCTATATATATGCCTCCGTGTAAAACAGTCGCCTGGGTCGGCACCGTGTACTTCTGATAGAATTGACGCTATCCACCTCCCAGTGCTTTGGCTATTGTGTTGTTGGACGCCTGTTTACTTGATCTCCGAAGCGTGCGTAACTAATCTTGGCACATCCGAGACCGACACCCTGTCCGCTGATTGATGTGGCACGAGAATCAACCCCCAACGCGTTACTCACACAGGCGCCTTACCATACCCCTTATTCTTTACGTCGCCGTGCCCGCTACCCTCTCCCACATCGCTTTCACCGAAAGTCCCACATAGTCCGACACCGCGCATGCGCAGCCCAAGCGCCCTCATCCCTGCGCCCGTTGAGGAGCATCACGCATAATTTCAACAAGACCCCCCTCCCGTTCCACAACCACACCTGATGGCTTCTAGCTCTGGTCTGACGCGCCGGAGAGGAGGCGGCGGCGCTGCAGGCAACGGCGAGGACGAGAGCAGCCGGGTCAGCTCGCCAGCACCCAAGCGCACCGACGACCGCACCCCCGAAACCTCCTACGAAAGCTCCGAGAATGGCCACAAGATCGCATTCGACCCCCGGGATATCAGCGAAAATGCAGAGAGGAGCAAACAGCCCAAGCTGACACTCATGGAGGAAATCATCCTCATGGGGCTGAAGGACAAACAGGTGTGTACACGGCAGCGTGCTGGTGGGCTAGGGGCAGCAGGCTGATGAGTGAGAATAGGGATACCTGTCGTTCTGGAACGACAACATCTCCTATGCATTGCGAGGCTGCATTGTCATAGAATTAGCCTTCCGAGGCCGCGTGAGCATGCAAAAGGACTCGAATCGGCGACGGTTCCCCCTCGCAGACAGGGTCATCGAGGTTATTGACGACACATTGACCGGTGAGGTTCTGCTGGACGAGGCCCTCAAGATGATGAAGTCGAGTGAGAAGATGAGCGTCAACTCATGGATCGACCTCATGAGCGGTACGTTTGCGGCGCACAATCCCAAGGCTGGTGCTCGGCACTAATTATACACACAGGAGAGACGTGGAACCTCATGAAGATTGGCTACCAACTAAAACAAGTACGCGAACGACTATGCAAAGGCCTCGTCGACAAGGGCATCCTGCGCACCGAGAAGAAGAACTTCCTCCTGTTCGACATGGCTACACATCCCGTCGCAGACGGCGGCGCAAAGGAGGAGATTCGACGCAGAGTCCGGAACGTCCTCACCAACCGCACCGTCGTCCTCCCTGGCAGCCAATTCCTCCCCGAGGAGTTGGAGTTCAGAGTGCTCCGAACAATCACCATGGTCTGCGCCGCCTATGCCGCCAACGTCCTAGAGAACGCCTTGACAACGTTGGGTCACGAAGCGCGGGAACGGGCTTTTGCTCAAGTAGACGAGCTGCTGGCAGAGTATTCGCAGTGGCCGTTTGCAAAGAGGCAAGGCGGCTCGCAGGGTGTGGGCGCAAACTTGGGTCAGCTCATCACGGACGAAGTTAATGGTTCCAAGGATAAGGAGCTCCAGCTTGAGGTAAGTCAATCGCTGTTTTGCTTTTCCCTTAATATGACAGAGCGCTGACCATGTTACTATAGGTTGTCGCAGCGTGCTTGAGTGTATTCACTCGACTTGACTCACTGCTTTGAGCGGAGGGAATGCAACGAGAGCAGCGATATTACTGAGCAACGGGGGAGTGCACGTCTCAGCAGCGAACCTGAACGTTTGAGTATCTATCGCAAGCAAAGCAGACGCATATAGGCGGCGAACTTGTAAGCGGCGGCGTGTCCGGGCCGGGACTGGATGGAAATGTTTAGGTATTGTCAGTTTCTAGCATTGATGCAACTAGGATGGATCTGGAGGCGAGGGCGTCAGAGTGCGGTGACGAGGTGTACTACCAGACGCTTCTTATCTTCTTCTACTAGGCGGGTCTTTCCATAAAATACAACCTTTATTCGATAACGAACAAGGTCCACTGCATTACACGAGTGGCTTTTCCTCTGAGCTTACCGGTCTAGGTAGGCGCTAGCATTCGTCATGGCGTCACACGTGATGGGCTGCGTGGAGACGATGGAGTGCAGGTGTAATTATGTGGAACAGTCGGTAGAGCATGGCCTCTGCTTTAGTGAATAGAACCACGCCGGGCAGAGGCTGTGGGTGCGTGGGAGCGTGCCGACGAGCTTCAGCGTGGTTATGGGCTGGCTGGCTCGGCGCTCGCAAGCGGCGGGAAGTGGGAGCGAGGCGCAAATCCATCAATGCCTCTGCCTGACACACAACACATCATTCCGAGCTTATCCACGGCCGCGACCCCGCCCAAGGTACCGCAGCAGGTGTTTCGCCGATTTAGGTTTCCTGCCAATACTCTCGCCTGTGAAAGGCTTACAGACGGGCTGCTGCGCGCTTGACTACCCGATCGGCACTTCTTTCCCTGGACAGCCAAACAGAGGCCCAGCCCAGCCCTGTGACCTGTGACGACGCGCAAATTGCATGCTCCCAAAGGTATGTGTTTTTTCTATTGCTGCTATTTATTCTCGTGATAGCGGCGCGATGCATGCGCTTTCTGGAGATGGCGGCGCGGGTGTTGCTGTCGCCATCGCATCGCACGTCCGCCCCCTTCTTCTGGCAGGCGCGACCGCTTGGGACGCCCATTGACCGACCCACTCGAGCCTCCATCACTCCTTCCAGCCTCCATGCCTCGGCTCTAACAAGGGCAGCAACACGCAGGTCGCTCCTGCTGCGCGCATCAACAGTTCCTACGCGATGCCCTCCCCGCCGCTAACCGACTCTCACGCCCTCGACCCTGCCCACGGCGCGTCCACAAACGGCATCAGCAGTGAAGGTGCTGTCCAGCCCGCCAACGCCCCGACCAGCATCAATGGACCCGACGGCGCGTCCAACGAAAACAACGCGATTCGAGACGGCAAGCAGAAAGCCAAGGCCGTCATGGCCGCCTCTGGTCTGAACCTCGCAGGCGCGCAAGGCGACATGGCATCGCCCGCGCAACCCGAAGCCATCAACGGCGCGTCGCCCAGCAGAAAGCGATCGCGTTCGGGCACCCGCAAGTCATCACACACGCCTTCCCACGACAACGGCGCGAAACCGACAGCCTCGCAGACCCACCTCCTCAACCGCTACATTGAGCGCGACCTCTTGGATAGTGTAAACAAGTACGAGCGCAACAAACATTCCGAAAAAGTTTATGGCGAACTCAACGACCTGCGCCATTTCTACCGCGACGAAGTGTATCCGGTCCGACGACAGAACCCCGGCGCCATATTTGGATATGGCTACGCTGGCTACGGCAACGGCCTGACCGAGATACCTCCCGACCCCAGAGACCCGCGCGCCCTACCGCAAACCAAGCTGCTTTACCCTGAGAATGCCAAGCGCGCTGGCCGTCGACTCGCACCGCAGCTCAAGGTTTCAAAAGAGAAGGGGCTCCAGCAAGCAGACCAGATTGAGGAGCTCGTACCCGTGCGTTTGGACATCGAATTGGATAGACTGAAGCTTCGCGACACTTTCACCTGGAACCTCCATGACCGCGTCACCAACCCCGTGCTCTTCGCTCAAACCCTCGTCGAAGACTTCCAAATACCGCCCGAACTACGCCAGAACGTAATGCAGCAAATCGATCGCGAGATTCACGAGCAGGTACAAGACTACTACCCCCACGCCTTCTTCGACGACGAGCCATTAGATCCACATCAGCCTTACTCGGCATACAAGAATGACGAGATGCGAATCTTGATCAAGCTGAACATTACCATTGGCCAGCACACCCTTGTAGATCAGTTTGAGTGGGAGATTAACAACCCTCTGAATGCGCCTGAGGAATTTGCGAGACAGATGGCCGCTGACTTGTCCCTATCCGGAGAGTTCACAACCGCAATCGCCCATTCCATAAGAGAGCAGTGCCAGATGTTTACAAAGAGTTTGTACATTACAGGACATCCCTTTGATGGGCGACCGGTCGAAGATACAGACATACAAGACAACTTCCTGGCCTCTCCACTCCCCTCCGTATTCCGCCCGATGCAGTCTACGAAGGACTACCAACCCTACCTTTACGAACTCAGCAATGCGGATTTGGAGCGAGCCGAACTTTCCATCATGCGCGAACAGCGACGCCAGAAGCGTTCCGTCAACAGACGCGGTGGCCCTGCCCTGCCAGACCTCAAAGACCGCCAACGGACTGTTCGCACATTGGTTGTTTCGTCAGTGCTGCCTGGCGCTGCGGAAACCATTGAGGACAGCCAACTCTTCAAGGCCACGCGCAAGGTCAGAGAAGGCCGTCGCCGCGGTGCTGAGGGCAGCTCAGACGACTCAGATAGTGATGATTCAGTCATGGAGTCTCCCGCACCTGCTCAATTGATGACTGGAGGCACTGCTCGTACCCGTGGTATGCGCGGAGCTGCTACTGCTGCTCAAGCCGCCATGCGATCTGCCATTGGAAGATCAGCAACTCCCGAAGTCTCTAATATCCAAACACCCCATCACGAGCCAAGGGCGTCAAGATCTCTACGGTATGAAGCGCGGGAAGAGAGCGTGTCCGAACCCACATCATTAATAGTCAAACTCCGCATAACGCCCGCAAAGTTCAGGGAGTGGGTAAGAAACCCAAGAGCTTTCGTAAAGCCCGCTGGGACTCCCATGATGACACTCTCGCAACCACCGACGCGGAGTACGCCTACCGCAAACTCGATGCCTCCTCCACCGTCACCCGCCATGCCATCCCGCTCTACACCGACAGTACCGACATCTGTTGAAGCTTCACCGAAGCCGCCTTCCACACCTACACCAACGCCACCGAACAAGCAATGGAATTACAGGCCGGATGGCTCATTGGAGGCACCTTGGCCAACGCCCGCCGCTTCACAACATGTAAGATCCCTTCTTGCGTCTATGTAGTCATCTCTGACCCATATTAGCCTCCCACTCCCCCATGGCTCCAAAAAGCACTCCAAGACCTACGCGATAAGAACCCTGGCGAGCTCTTCGAATCTACCATGCGCTACGCAGTCATGAACGAGCGCCATGAGGACCCGAAGACTGGCGAGATGGTGTCCAGACAAGTCAAGCTAGATACACTATCTCCAACCGCTCCCCTGCCAGCGAACCACAAAGCGTATTTCCTCCCGCGAATCCGATGCATAGACTGCCCAGGAAAGCTGTACAATGCTGGGCCCGAACAGACGGTCAATAATTTTGAATTACATCTGAAGAACCGCGTACACATGGAGAACGTGCGCAAACGGACTGGTCAGCCATTGTAGGCTCGGCATTCAGATTGCCTGTCTGCGCAAACAGGAAATGATATTCAGATAAGCATAGCGGGGTCTTTTTTCATATTGGCAAGCGCATCCAGGGTATAGAAGCCCGTGTAAGAACAGCGGATCACGTGGAGTTGCGCATGCGGACAACGTGCTTGTCTATCGGCGTTCTCATTTGTCGGCTACAACTCGGAAATTTGGGGCCCCTCTTGGATTATAGCACGGGGGGTTGGCATAGTTTGAAGCCTTCGTCATTATGCGGCACTATTTTGAGTACCTTCCTTCTTCTCTTAGTTGCTGGTGTCGTTTGTAAGGTATAAGTAGGGTTGGTAGTCTTCGACGCAGCGATGTAGGTAGGCGTCAATTACAGTTGTTCATATCAAGGCCGTGCAAGTGCCATACCCTCAATACTGTGGTGAAGGCCTTTGTTCGTCTGCTTATCACAAGCCTTCTTCGCAGTCGTTGCTAGAGAGAACATTGTCCCCGCTTCACTCCGTCACGTGTTCGGTTCCGGTAATAGGTACCTAAGTACCTAGCCTGTCGTCATGATGCTCAACGCAGCGCTGCTCGTCACCACCCTGCTCGCCTTCATCATGAAAGCACAAGCTGCTACTCTCCCAATCCGAATCTTAACCCACAACATCCGTTATGCCGCCGATCCACCAGCCGCAGGCGAGAAGCCCTGGTCAACCCGGAAACAACTGATCCTCAACGAGCTGCACTACAACACGCTCCACAACCCCGAGGCCTTCATCTGTCTACAAGAAGTGCTCAACGAGCAAATCGTCGATATAATGGCCGGTCTCGGCAACGAATGGGCCTACATTGGCGTAGGCCGCGACGACGGCAAAACCGAAGGCGAATACAGCCCTGTCATCTACCGCCCAGCCGTCTGGGAACTCGTGACCTGGAAGACTGTCTGGCTAAACGAAGACGGAGCTGTTGGGAAGAAAGGCTGGGACGCAGGCTCCGTTCGCATAGTGACCATCGGCACGTTCAAGCACATGACAAGCAAGAAGGAAATAGTAGCCATGTCGACACATTTCGACAACTCCGGCGCTATCTCGCGCCGCGAATCCGCGAGGATTATCGAAGGCATTGCTGCGGATATCGCTTCCCCGGCTTCAAACTACTCGTCCACTGGCCTGTCTTTCTTCCTAGCCGGCGACCTCAACTCTGAGATTACGGATGATGCGTACATCATGCTGAATAACGCGTCGTCTCTCCTGCACGATACGAAGGAGCAGGCTAAGTGGCTGTATGGTGACGAGAATACGTATACGGCTTTCGATGATGTGGATAAGTCGCTGATTGATTTTGTGTTTGTAGGACCGAGGGGAGAGGGGGATTGGGGTGTTGAGGGTTATAGTGTGCTGCCAAATCGGTTTGAGGATGGGGTCTATGCGAGTGATCATCGTGCGGTGGTTGTGGATGGGGTTTTGGAGGTTTAGAGACAGAGGGAGTTGTTTGTGGGGATGATACAAGTTCATTAGCCTGGAACAATGTACTTGATACCATTAAATGTCTGGCACGCTGTCGAAGCTGTCAATAGCGTGGCTTATGGAGAAGTGCACTGCAGCATGACAGCAGTGGATTTGCTCTGCAATCATGCCAATGTTTCAAATACGAGCTTGCCAACAGTGATCCGGCTGACCACAAGCCCAGTTTCTAGATGCAGGCAATTAATTCAAGAACAGAAGTAAAGCAGGTCGAGTGTGATGTTGTCAGGCGATCATCGTCATTGGGCTCTGGCTAAGCGAAAGCTCGAAAGCACCCCACTGAGGGGCTGGTCTGAACACAGGAACGACCTCGCGCACCACTCCAATTCTAGCTTCTAGACCATCTTCCCACACTCAACTATACTCAAGATGGCCGAAACAGCAGCTGTCGGTAAGCTCGATCCTTATTCGCTATTAATGCCATCGACATGAGAGCTATTCAGACGAAGATAGCTTCGACCTCAGTTTTGTGCTGTCAATGAGTCGCAGAAGCTAACCCATATTGCAGACTACACTCTGGCGAACCCGGATACTATCACCAAGTACAAGGTCGCCGCCGACATCTCCCAGAAAGTCCTCAAGGAGGTCTCCGGTACGACGCTCCCCACACTTGCGCTTGTTTTCCCGCGCGTAAACATGAACACAAACTGATCAGTCCAGGATGGATCGCCGCTGATGCCAACATTGTCGAGCTCTGCGAGCGCGGTGACAAGCTCCTAGACGAGGAGGTCGCCAAGGTCTACAAGGGCAAAAAGGTCCTTAAGGGCATTGGACACTGCACCACCATCTCGCCGAGCGCCTACATCACCCCGTACACACCACTCAAGACCGATGCCGAGGAAG